GGCCACACCTGAGTAGCACTGTGACCCCATAACAAGCCCCTTGGGACAGGGGCTGCCACTGCTGCGTGAGTGTGGGGTGGGCAGCCGGGCTTGCTCTCCACCTTCCCCCCACCCCACCCGAATCTCCCCTCTGAACCGAGCAGGATTAGTGCTGCCATGCCAGGGTGGCAGGTGCAGTTGAAAGTGGTCAGTGCCCCCTCAACTACTGCCCCTCTGTCACTGGGATCATGCATTAAGATCCGGAGGTTGGGTCCCCTCTGGCAGTGACCCTCGCACAGACGGGTGTGGCGTCACACCTCTATTACCAGTTCTCTGGAGGGATGGTAAATCTTTAGCAAGGGGGACCCTCCTCTTCTGTATACTCAGCTATGTTATTTCAAACAGAGACAATGGCTCCGAAGGGGTGGCGGCAGGTTATAGGGTCCAGACTGAATCCCCGTGCCAAAAGCGCTCGGCCTTATGTCAGGCTGAGGGTTCTGAAGCCAACGGAGGCCACAGATCTCCCAGAGCAAACCAGCAGACTGCCCGGTTCTGCCCTCTTGCAGGGGTTTGCCCTCCCCGCCCAGTGTGGCGTGTTTTAGCATGGGATGAGCAGGCCTGCAGCCCTGCCTTGCATAACATGTGTGTCTGCGCGTGCATGCGTCTTTTGGGCGGGTGCTGTTTACCCACACCCAGGCGGTGAGGACACGTGTGTTTGGGCAGCTCTGTTCCCAGAGCAGAGAGGTGGGGGCAGCAAGGAGCTGCCCCCGCCCTGAGGCTGGCAGACTCCTGAGGAATTTTTCTGAGCTCGGTATGCCAAGAAAAACTATTTCAGATGGGATAAACAGGATGCTTTGTACACAGAGCAGTCATGATGCAGGCCACAGGACACCCCCCACCTCCTTGCCTTGGGAGGCAAGCAGTACCCCCAGGAAAAGATTCAGGTCTCACAGCACTGTCCTTGAGCCATTCAGACTCACTCTTTCTCATATACACTAAGACACCCTGGCCCAAATCCTAACACCCATTAATTTAAACGGGACATGGGTATGTGAATACCTGTGAGGATCCGAGCCCCGGGCCTGAAGTCTGGGCATCGGTCAAGCTGAGCCCAGCCCAGGGAGGCAAAGACCTGTTTGTGATGCGTCCTGCAGTCTGGAGGAGCAGAGCAGTTCCCTGAACTAGCTAGAGCAGCCCCATGGGTTACTCTGCCTTATGGCTGCCACCAAGCAAGGCTCCCCACAGGACTTTCCAGCAGCCAAGGCACAGAGCTCCCTGGCCACACCTCTCCCTCCTCCCCTGTGCATGGCCCCTGCTGCTCTCTGTGCCAAGGACCATTGTGTCAGCTCCATCTTCCTGCAAAAGGGGGAAACAGTGAGGGCTGTTTCCACGCTGGTAGTACGGCACACAGCAGCTGAATGGGACTGCAGCCGAGGGCAAAATCTGGGGCCTCTCCGTTTCAGGTCTGGCAGAGGGAGGAGGAGCTTTTCTGTCCAGCCCCACTGCCATCCGTGGGAAGGCCCTGGGCACCCAGCTCCCTTGAGAGCACCTCAGCCCCCACCCCACCTGACAGGCAGCCTGATCACAGCGGCCATGGCCTGTAACTGAGGCCCTGCATATAGCCGCAGAGGGCAGGGGGTGCCCCAATGAAATAAACCCAGTGTGACTCCCCAGTGCAGAGGGGCTAGTCCAGTGCAGCGTGTCTGCATTGATGGGCTTGCACGGGTGTAATGACACCAATTTCCCCAGTCCAGACCAACCCTCGGGCCCCTACAGACGCTGCCTCTTGATCCAAGTGCAGCTGCATGTGTTGGGTGCAGGCGATCAAGCCCACGCTATCACTGCCCAGGCTGTGTCTGCTTTGTGGGTGCGGGACCCCCCGCCCCGCCAGGGCTTTCAAGCTGCTTCCTGTTCTGAGCATCCAAGAGCTCTTCTTGTCCTGCTGACCTGCTGCTCACAAACCGGGAAGAATTAGTAGGGGAAGCAAAAGTGGATGGGAACCTGGGAGGCAGTGACCACGAGATGGTCGAGTTCAGGATCCTGACACAGGGAAGAAAGGAGAGCAGCAGAATACAGACCCTGGACTTCAGAAAAGCAGACTTTGAGTCCCTCAGGGAACTGATGAGCAGGATCCCCTGGGAGAATAACATGAGGGGGACAGGAGTCCAGGAGAGCTGGCTGTATTTTAAAGAATCCTTATTGAGGTTACAGGGACAAACCATCCTGATGTGTAGAAGGAATAGTAAATATGGCAGGCGACCAGCTTGGCTTAACAGTGAAATCCTTGCTGATCCTAAACACAAAAAAGAAGCTTACAAGAAGTGGAAGATTGGACAAATGACGAGGGGAGAGTATAAAAATATTGCTTGAGCATGCAGGAGTGAAATCAGGAAGGCCAAACCACACCTGGAGTTGCAGTTAGCAAGAGATGTTAAGAGTAACAAGAAGGATTTCTTCAGGTATGTTAGCAACAAGAAGAAAGTCAAGGAAAGCGTGGGCCCCTTCTGAATGAGGGAGGCAACCTAGTGACAGAGGATGTGGAAAAAGCTAATGTACTCAATGCTTTTTTTTGCCTCTGTCTTCACGAACTAGGTCAGCTCCCAGACTGCTGCACTGGGCAGCACAGCATGGGGAGGAGGTGACCAGCCCTCTGCGGAGAAAGAAGTGGTTTGGGACTATTTAGAAAAGCTGGACGTGCACAAGTCCATGGGGCCAGATGCACTGCATCTGAGAATGCTAAAGGAGTTGGTGGATGTGATTGCAGAGCCATTGGCCATTATCTTTGAAAACTCAAGGCGATCGGGGGAAGTCCCGGACGACTGGAAAAAGGTTAATGTAGAGCTCATCTTTAAAAAAGGGAAGAAGGAGGATCCTGGGAACTACAGGCCAGTCAGCCTCACCTCAGTCCCTGGAAAAATCATGGAGCAGGTCGTCAAGGAATCAATTCTGAAGCACTTAGAGGAGAGGAAAGTGATCAGGAACAGTCAGCATGGATTCATCAAGGGCAAGTCATGACTGACTAATCTAATTGCCTTTTATGACAAAATAACTGGGTCTGTGGATGAGGGGAAAGCAGTGGACGTGTTGTTCCTTGACTTTAGCAAAGCTTTTGACATGTATTTTGACAGTATTCTTGCCAGCAAGTTAAAGAAGTCTGGGCTGGATGAATGGACTATAGGGTGGATAGAAAGTTGGCTAGATTGTCGGGCTCAACGGGTAGTGATCAATGGCTCCATGTCTAGTTGGCAGCCAGTATCAAGTGGAGTGCCCCAAGGGTCAGTCCTGGGGCCGGTTTTGTTCAATATCTTCATAAATGATCTGGAGGACGGTGTGGATTGCACCCTCAGCAAGTTTGCAGATGACACTAAACTGGTAGGAGAGGTAGATATGCTGGAGGGTAGGGATAGGATACAGAGAGCCCTAGACAAATTAGAGGATTGGGCCAAAAGAAATCTGATGAGGTTCAACAAGGACAAGTGCAGAGTCCTGCACTTAGGACGGAAGAATCCCATGCACCGCTACAGACTGGGGACCCAATGGCTGGGCAGAAGGTCAGCAGAAAAGGACCTAGGGGTTACAGTGGACGAGAAGCTGGATATGAGTCAGCAGTGTGCCCTTGTTGCCAAGAAGGCCAATGGCATTTTGGGATGTATACGTAGGGGCATTGCCAGCAGATGGAGGGACGTGATCGTTCCCCTCTATTCGACATTGGTGAGGCCTCATCTGGAGTATTGTGTCCAGTTTTGGGTCCCACACTACAAGAAGGATGTGGATAAATTGGAAAGAGTCCAGCAGAGGGCAACAAAAATGATTAGGGAACTGGAACACATGACTTATGAGGAGAGGCTGAGGGAAGTTGTTTAGTCTGCGGAAGAGAAGAATGAGGGGGGATTTGATAGCTGCTTTCAACTACCTGAAAGGGGGTTCCAAAGAGGATGGCTCTAGACTGTTCTCAGCGGTACCAGATGACAGAACAAGGAGTAATGGTCTCAAGTTGCAGTGGGGGAGGTTTAGGTTGGATATTAGGAAAAACTTTTTCACTAGGAGGGTGGTGAAACACTGGAATGCGTTACCTAGGGAGGTGGTGGAATCTCTTTCCTTCGATATTTTTAAGGTCAGGCTTGACAAAGCCCTGGCTGGGATGATTTAGTTGGGGATTGGTCCTGCTTTGAGCAGGGGATTGGACTAGATGGCACCCTGAGGTCCCTTCCAACCCTGATATTCTATGATTCTATGATAAGTCAGAAGAGAGGTTTTATTTTGCACAGTTTGCACTGAACCTTGCTGAACGTCCCAAATTTGCTGTACTGTGACAAGCAGCAGAGGATCAGACAAGCTAGAGGCAGTGGGGAAAGGGGGCAAAGAAAAGTCACCTCCGACTGGTATGTTCAGGCCCTGGGTCCTGTCCTCCCCACTCACGGGTGAGACACACCTTGGCTCCAGAGAAGGATCAAGGCTGTGGTTTATGATGACTTGGGCAGCGTCAGAGGGGTATAAAGGGCTGGGTGAATGTTGCAATGCTCTGTGAAGCAATGTCAGAAACAAAGCCAGGTGCCAACAAGCAGCTGGTTTCACTGCCTGATAGTTAGAGCTTGTCCCTGCAGCAGGAAGGCACCTCTAGGAGCTCTGATGGGGGGTGGCGTGGGGGGGGAGCTCTGATCCGGGGGCAAGAAAGAACAGCCCCCCACCCCCCTGCACTAGGTGTGAGAGAAAAGCCCTTTGTTTAGCTGCAGGGGGAATCAGCTTCTGCTGCAGGGGCCTGATCTTGGGGTCCAGCTCTCGAGACGGAAAGTGCCTAGCGGCCACGTGTGGGCTGGGTGCAAGGGGGCTGGTGGTTAGCACAGGCCGGGGCAATAATTAATCGGGGGGGGACTTTTTTTGGTTGGGGTTCCCACGTTCTTGCCGGAGAAGGCCTCGGAAAAGCAACGCAACCCCCCGGCGGGGGTGTTAACCCCACCCCCAGACCGCGGGGGAGAGGTTTGAACTGCCCCCGGCGTGGGAAGAGGGAAATCGCGGCCCCGGCTCCCAGGGTGTGTCCCGGGGCGGGCTGTACGTAGGCAGGAGTGTCTCCTTCTCCCTCTCCGGCCCGCCCAGGGCTTCCCTCGGCTGGGAGGAGAGAGGCTGGTTTCCTGCCCGAGGACTGGGAGCAGACCCGCCGCTGCGGCCCGGCCCGGAGGAAGGCGACCCCGCTTTTGAATCGCAAGCCTCCCTGGGGGGTGAGCTTCCCCCCCCCCCCCCGCCGGGTCCCCACCATCCAGCCCCTGGATTGTAATCGCGCCCCGGGCCGTCATGGGCGATGTTATCTCCACTCACCTGGATGAGAGCCGGCGCCACTATATCTCAGGTAAGGGGGTTGCACCCCGCCCCGGCTGGGGCTGGTCAGTGTCCAGGAGCCATAGTCCGCTTCGGGCGGGGGGGGAATCAGCGTCTTTCCCCCTCGCTCTCCGGAGGGGTGTGTAAAACGGAGCCGATTCTCGCTGGAGGAAAAGTTTCTCCGTTGTTTGCTTCTCCCCCCGTGTAACTAGCCTGATGGGGACAATCTCTGAGTTCCCAAGCTTTTCTCTGTCCCACTCCTTTACTAAATCATGGTGCGAAGGGGGTGGGAGGAACCCCCCCCTTCTCCTAAACAGCCCCCCCCCCCGGGGGGGATCCTCTCAATCTGGATTTCGTTTCCCTCCCGACAAGGGGATCATATTTTAATGCCTTAACGCTTTTTTTTTTTTTTTTTAAGTTCCACGTTGCAACTCTGGGTCTCTCTCTCCTCCTTTGCAGAGCTGGGAGCAGCCTCTCCCTTAAGGAGGGCGGGGAATGGGGAAATAAGGTGTCCGCCTGTCTGCCTCCCCCTGAAAGGCTTGTCTTGTGTGGTGGATGTTTGTGTTGGCCGCAGGACGAGGTGATTTGCTTCAGGAGAGCTCTCCTATGGCCGGGGCTTCTGCTGGGCCTGTGGGCAGGGGGAAGGAAGGGGAACAGATCTCTCTCTAAGGATGATGAGTAGAGGTTTTGTCCCGTCCACACGAGCTGTTAAACCATGTTCAGCAGTGGTTCGAGGGGGACCCATCGGGCCCTGGTCCTGCGCGGGGGGACACAGGGCTCTGCCTGTGGGGATAGGGTCCCGGATCTGGATTAGCGCCAGGAATGGGTTTGCCTTTTAATGCAGACAGGGCTCCAGGCCATCCTGCCACTGAAATGTAGGGCGTTGGAGTCTAGAGAGGTGACAATGGAGCTATTGATTGCATTGCCCTGTATTTACTCTTGATGATGTGGGTGTCTCAGTCTGACGTGTTTGACCTAAAGATTCCTCTTGGACTTGGGGATCGGGATGGCTGATTAGTCCTGCTTGGAATAGCTTTTCTAAGCATGGGACTGTGGCTTCCAGACAGTCGCTTTTTTGTCCAAGGAGATGGCATCTGACTGCACTGAGGATGGGGAAGGTTGGGGGGCTAATTGGTGCCTGCAGTTACTTGATTGACCCTTATAAGTGGGGTCACTCTGCCACTGAGCACTGTGACTTGGCCTCTGTTTCGCCTTCCTTGCTTGGGACATCTCATAATTTATGACGCAGGCATCTGAGCTTCCAAGGGTCTCTGAGTTGCAGGACTTGACCTCTGTCCCTTCCTTACATAGGCTTCAATTACAATTACTTCAGAGGCTCTTTGAAGGAGCTATTAAGCACTTAGCTACTACTCTGAACATCAACCTTGCTTGGGACCCCCAGACTTCACAAATCAGGTTGCAGGAGAAGATGTGGCTTTGATGGCATGAGACCTAACCAACTTCTTACGCTGGAGAACCAGGAAGATCCGATGAAGTGAGCTGTAGCTCACAAAAGCTTATGCTAAAATAAATGTTAGTCTCTAAGGTGCCACAAGTACTCCTTTTCTTTTTGCAAGATGCCTTGGAAACTTTAGACCTTCAGAGGTGAATTAGTTTCCTCGCTCCCTGGAGCAAACTATGGCTCTGCCCCGGATCTCCAATGAAGTGGGCACTTCACACAAAGCTACAATTAAAATGCCAGAGGAACAGCATATTGCAGCTGCCTTAATATCAGGGGTTTGCAACATGACTAATGTTGTTGCATTGCTGAATGCCAAAGGAATTATGACTTGTCACTTACTGTAATGTATGGTAAAGTTTCCTATTCAGCTCCATGAATCATGGAATTTCATGTAGACCAAACACCATTTAAAGGGACGCTGTCGGGTTTAAAACGAATGCTTCTAAAATGTCCTATAGTACAAATGACACTTTAGATTGTTAAAACCAAGGAGTGAGTAAGGTTTATTTTATTAGCCTGGTCTCTTTGCAGGAAAGGAGATTATCTGGCTTCCCCCACCCTTTTCTTTTTTTTTTAAAATGGACAGTAGGTTTAGGAGTTTTAGCTCCTAAACCTACTGCTATGTCCTCTTGCTAACTTAAGGCACTACTTGTATTAAGTAGTGCCTAGAGGATCAAGACTCCATTGTACTACCTAGCATTGAGCAAACAGCCTTAAAACAAGTTTTTCCTTATCTTTAAAATCTGGACCTTCCCCTATTGTGTTAAAGACCTACACAAATTGGGGAGTGGTGTGGGGGGATGACTGGCTATAATGACACAGAGAAGGCACAACTTGCTGTCAGATGAGCAAAGTAACGGGGGAGGGGAGTTTCCTCCTATCTCTTGGGTAATCTTGGGGGTTGCTAGCAACAATGACTACAGAAATATTTGTTTGGGGAGGGTATATAATTGGATCACTACTTTGACCTGAAGGTCCGAAACTTCCTAGCCTATAGTAATTGCTGCCATAATTACTTCTTAATGCTCTATTAATGAGCTCCTCAGAAGTGTTCATGGGCCACAATCTTCTGCTGTCTTGCAACTCATTGCAGTGGTTAAAATGCCTGAGCCCCTCCTGGACCAGCACACCCCTCATTTACAAGACTGATGGAGATGCCCCAGTGCAGGATAAGCCATTTCCAGGCTCTCCCCGGTGTAGACACAAGATCTAAATGGCTCATGAAATGTAGTGCCAAGGCCAGCTAAGAGATTCCTGCTCTTTAGCATGACTAGAGGAGCACAAGCTCCAGGAATCTAGTGGAAACTAACTTCCCAATGATCAGTACAAGCTACCCCTGCTTTGCTTCTCCAGCTTGCTCCAGGTAGCGCTTGGGAACGTCGTGGTGGTGTTAATCTAGGGACTCGGCTGAGCTAGGGCTCCTACCGGTGCAGGTGCAGTGGTGCTGGTGTAACAGAGAGAATGCCCCGAAAGCTGCCAGAGTCGTCACCGCGTTCCTGTCTGCGGGGTGGAGGAGGGGGAGCAGCACTTCAGTGTGCCTGGTGAAGCCGGCCCCTCTTGGCTGATGTTTGCCGGGTTCTTCTCTCCCACCCTGGTGCGCTTTGGAGTCTCCTAGACTGCGTCAGCCCACCAGGGCAGGGAGTGTCACGGCCTGCTTGGGCAGCGCCTAGCCCAGCGGGGCCCCAACCTCACGCAGGCCACTGCAGCAGCACCAGAGCTAACTGAAGGTGTGGCTGATTCAGGTGGCCCTTCCCCTCAATCCCAACATGCTCTCCTAGCCCTCCTTACCTGTAACTTCATGCCTGGGGTCTTCTGTTCCCTGAACAAGGGGTAACTCTGTGTTGCTACTGTTGGCTGATCTCCCTGCATGCCGCCCTTCCATCTCCCTCTGTTTCAGGGACTCCCTGCAACCCCCAGCCCTTCCCTCATGCTGGGGTCCCTCAATCTCCCCCCTTGGGTTCCTAGTGCCCTCAGTCCCCCCCTTACCCCCCCATACCAGGGCCCTGCATTTGTGCCTCAATGCTGCCAGGGGCTCTGGGTGCCCCCCATCTGCCACCATTCTTTCTCTGTCTGCCTGGGAGATGCCCTGACCTATCAACGTTGTGAGGATGGGCGGAAATGGGACGGGGGCCCTTGTTAGGCTGGATGCAGTTAATGGGTGCCATTAACTCGTTCTCTGATCTACAGACAGGTGCTTGAAGCTGTGGCTCTCCTAGACAGATGGCAGGGCCCCCGTATGTTCTCCATTTCCCGCTTCCCGGGTTTTTCCAATTATGTCTATTGACACCGAGCGTGGTCCCTGAAATCTGGGCACTGATCAGACGCGATGTACAAAATCTGTTGCTTTAGATGGACTCCCTCGGGTGGCGCATAGGGCCTCACAAGCTCAGCCATGCCTGGCCCCCTAAGGCACGGTAGCACCTAGCCGCCCCACTGTGCTAGGCACTGTAGAAACACAACACGCTCCCTGCCTCAGAGCTTTTAAATGGCTGGGGCAGACCGTGAGAGGCACAGAGAGGTGAAGTGACTTGCTCAAGCAGGTCCTAGTCTGAGCACTGCTCTGTCCACCTGATCCCTGTGCTCCTGGATGCAATCAAGAGCTCTTTTTATTTTATTATAAAGAGGCAAGCAACGTTTTATGCAGTGCCCATGCTGTTCAGAATAGCAGGTGCTCCCTAAGGCTTGTGCACATTTACAGTTCCAACAAACATACTATTAAAGCACCTTTGCTACACCCAGGACGCTCTTCCCCCCTGCGCCCGCGCTCCCCCCCGGCCGCCTTAGGAGACCTGTGCTGGGACCTGCAGGGTTAGGGACAGGTGTCATTTCAGAAAAATTCTGTGGGTAGGGAGAAGTTTGCTTTCCTCATGTCGGTCTCCAAAGTCTGGGGTGGGCGGGTGGGGAGAAAAGTGGAAGGCCTCATGGAGCATACAGACCTATGAAAAGTTGGGGTGTTGGGAGCAGAACAGGGTCTGGAGGGGGTGACTGGTCCCCTGGTTAGGGACCCATTTTGCACTGATCTGGTAATGGCTGGAGGGAGCAAGTCACGTGGAATAGGTTTGTGCTAGCTGGGACGGCTAGCATGGGCTTGCTGCGCTGCGTCTAGTTCACTCGGCTGGTTCGGAATAAGGGCCTGTCCCTACCATCAAGAGGAGGTGGCACCAAATGCATGACGAAGCTGGGTGAGCCTTCTCCCCATCCGCTCCACGACATCCTGGACGGCACAAGGATGTTCCCTGTGGCAAGCCCATGAGTTCATGGGTTGCTCTGGGAACCTTTTCTAGCGGAGTCACCCATCCCCTGCCGCCACGCCTCCCGTCCTTCCTAAATAAAACAGCCGTGCTATTTTCAGGGAGGTTTGGGGGTTAGTTTCCAGGAGGCACCTGGCATAAAAGGCTGTAGTTATTGCAGCTATGAGCCAAGTGCCTCCCCCGAGCTCAGGGAGGCGCAGCCTGGTGCTGGGATGCCATGTTGCACAGCCTCACTATTTGTTTTTCATTTGGAGCTCATTCCTGCTGGAGCGTCCTTCGTGCCTGAGCAAGCCCAGCCCAGAGCCTTTGCTCTCCCTC